AAAGGAAGCCACATAATGTAATTGGAACCATGTTAGTCGCCAGAGCAAAGAAAGAGTTGACATTACTTTTTTTTTTTTTTGGTGGGACCCTCGGCGGTGGCCAGGGAACAAACCAGCGCTGCAGAGGCTGCGGGCCACCTCGCAGCCCAGCGCTCAACCGCTGCGCCACCAGGGGAGGCCCAAGTTGACGTTACTTTTAATAAAATATTTTATTTAACATATATCTAAATATTATTTATTTATTTTTTCATAGAGGCATGTTTTTATTTATTTATTTGTTTGTTTGTTTTGTTTATACAAGCACTGGGTACAGTCAGAAGCACAGGAGGGTGAGAGAATTCACCAGAGCCAGAGCGGGGAGCAGAACAGGCAGAAGGACCGAAGTACACTGCTGAGGGGAGCAGCGGGCGGCAGGAGATCTGCGCGCCATGTGGGATCCTCCTCCGGTGGCCGGGGAGCAGCCGGGGATCGAACTGGCGCCGCAGAGGCCGCGCGGGCAGCTTCGCAACCCAGCGCTCAACCGCTGCGCCACTGGGGAGGCCCTCTAAATATTATTTAAACATGTGGTCAATATCAAAATTATTATTGGCGATTTCTGTATACCATTGTTTTTAAAATCTGATGTGTATTTTACATTTTAGCCACCCTCACTAAGGAGCAGCCATGTTGAGTGCTCAAAAGCTGTTGGTGGCTAGTGGCTTACAAGCTGAACACCACAGCTGCTGATACTTTGTTTCTGAAGGATTTTTGCCTATCTGAGAGCAGGTACTAAAATAATGGGGTTATTTTCGTATTTATAACTCTAGCCCAAAGCAGAGTAACCTCACTCTCCCCTGGTTTGATTAACCTTACAATACTGTCGCCTCGAATGCAGAATTACCATGGGGTGTTTCCAACACTAAATTTGGCTGATGGAACCAGCCCCACTGCTCTGCATATTTTTAGGGACTTGGGGGCCATAACTGGGCTTGACAATACCTCCAGGGTTCTATTATTTGGTGAGCTCAGCATCTGACCACTGGCAACAGTATCACTTATGCAGCATCAATGATCAGTGACGTCAATACTCAGGGCTGTAAGTGAGGAGTGGGTCTTCTGCCCTGGGAGAGCCGAAAAAGGGATTGGCATCTGCTCTGCCATAGGAGCCATTTTTCTCTGTAGTCAGAGAGCTCCTGTTAACTTTCATTAACTCTGAATGCTTCAAAAAAGAGACACAGCCAAGGACCTATGCAAATAATGGCTGTACATTCATGGCGGAAGTCTATGGAAATCATCTGGCTCAACATTCTCTGTGCCTCCCTCTTCTCCAAGTGACTTGCCCAGGGTCACGCCTCTGTTTAGGGAGAGATCTACTGTCCTGACTCTTGGTGAGATGTCCTTGTCACTGAAAGTACGCCTTGCACACATTAAAAACAAAATGATTGTAAAGTCTTTCCCTTAGAAATGAGGGTTCTCAAAAGGCATCATGGTTGTACAACCAAAAACAACAGAGACCCTATTTTTGGTCCACGTGAGACCGTAAGGTCTAAATCTAGGAAGTCTTTGTTTTTATTCTGGACGTATGTCAACTACAAGTGCTATTTTTCAGTCATAACAAATGACAAGTTCTAAATAGCAGAAGAAGTAATATGCATGCACATGTATCTCCACTTAGGGAAAACAGATTAGGTTGTACTTAATTGATACCAATTTCATAGCAGATAAAATATTGCAAAACATGGCATTCAGGCATGAAAAATGTAAAAGTAAAGACTTGGTAAGAATGGATCACAAACAATGACATCACGCCACCCTCCCCAAAGGGAGTCATATCCCAGCGTAATATCCTGAGGATATTAGAAATGCAGGTATATTAAAAAAAAACAAGAACCCTAGTGCATCCTCTGCATCCCTAAAACAGCTTCCATCTTGCGCCTCCATATCCTCCTCCCTCCCGGAGATGGGGTCAGTTTTTGTAGCCAATGGCTGCGTTATGCAATCAAACCTGCTAAAACAAGTGCCAGAATTAGATGCCAAGCACAGAAGGCATGCTATTGGCAGCATCCTTCATCTGGTTCTCAAGTTGCCAGCTAACTCCAATGTCCAGAGTTACTCAAGAGTTTAAGCTAGAGGATTCTGAAGAGCGTGAGCAACGTGACTAAAAAAAGATGCAGAGACTGACACCAACTGCACACAAGGCTGCCTGCCGCCCCCGGCACCCAGAGGGACTTCAAGGGTTAGTGACACACTTCAGAGGAAGACACCTGAGGCGTCACATCTCTGCCACAGGGGAGATACGGTGAGGAAAAACTACCATCACAGCCATTTTCTCACTAACACTAAAGGTGGAGCTGGTGTTGGTGATAATGAGCACAGAAGAACTTCCTTCCCTAATTCATTCAGCAAATATTTATCAAGCACCTCCTCTGTGGAGGCATTTTTCTAGGCGTTAGGTACACAGCAATGAACAAAACAGAAATCCTTGTTCTTTCATGTTTACCTTCGTCAGGGGAAAAAAGGTAATGAATAAATAAGTAAAATGTAAATGATGGCAAATAGTGGTAAGTGTGAACAATGTTGTAGGTACGAAAGGTGGGTGGAAAACAACGTAATGGAAAAGGTTAGCTTGTGAGGGCCAGTCTGTGACATGAAAGCAGGTATCAGAAGGTGGGGGCGGGAGGGCATGTGAATGCAAATATCCGGGGGAAGAGCATCCCAGACAGAACAGAAAGTGCAAAGGCCCTGAGGTAGGAACGTGCTTGGTCCAACCTACCACCATGTCTTATCAGACTTACTATAACTGGCTCCTAACAGGTTTTTCTGCTTTCACCTCCCTCCTCCCTCTTCTCTCCACAGCAACTAGAATGATCCTTCAAAAATCAGAGTCAGACTGTCAGTCCTCTGGGTACAATTCTCACTGGCAAGGTGAAAGCCAAACTCCACAAGAGCCCAGACAGAGCTTCCTCCCAAATCCTCCTGTTCCCACCCCTCCTTCCAAACCCAGCTGTCCTTCGCCTGCCCCTCAGCACTTCAGACCCACTAGCCTCCTCGTTGCTCCTTTGAATACACCAAACATGTTACATCTCCAAGGCCTCCACTGCTCTCTGTGCGCAGAACACTTTTCATCCAGAGTCACAGGGCTCCCTTCCTCACTTCTGTTTGGTTTGCCGTGGGCCCTCAATGGCATGGCCCATATCTGGGCTCACAGCCAGGACTCATTTTTACTCCAAGAGGGAGGCCCTCTATCTCCTCTCTCCCCACCACACCATGGTGTTCAACAACACAGAGAGAACTGCACAGAGGCTTGTAGCCTTAGGGACCCCACCATCTCCCACTGGAGGCAAGGCAGAGACCTCAACTAGCCGCACAACTTCCCCGGGGGGCTCAGCTGGCACTCTTCATCTCTTTCACTGCCAACTCCTCCATCTATGACATCACAGGAAAAAAATGGAATTTTGGAGGGGATTCCCACCAGTTATTCAACCTGCCCTCATATAAACAATTATCCTATATTTATATTTGTCTTTCTTATAGCATGAGTGGAATGAATCCATCCTCCTATTGAAAACTAAAGAATTCCTCCATTTTTTTTTGCATCTTGTTTTTTACCTCCTTCCTGCAAAACCTACTTCCATAAGTCACCCCTTATTTCTCCTACATTTCCAGGGCTCAACAGCAATTCTTCTTGGTTAAGCATCTTCCATTAAACAAACAAGATGCATAAAAGCTTCCCTCTCCCCACCATAGCCCTCCAGCTCCTGCCTTCTCTCTCCATCTCTGTTCCAATCCAAGTCAGTCAAAGAGACCAATAATCACTTTCTTCCACATTTCAACACACAGGAACCAGGTTTCTACCAACCTCTCCTACCTCAAAAATTGTTTCACTTTACTTCTTCTGAAAGCCAAGGACATCCTTAGTCCTCATTTCACCTGACTTCTCTGCAGCTTTTGGTTTTGAGGGAATTACATTTCCTGTCCTGCGATTCTCTCTGGCCTCTAATTTTCCTCCTCTCTTTGGCTGCTCCATTATAGATTCTTCCTTCTCATCTTCCCACCCTAGATAATAGACACTACATCTTTTCTCCTTCTATCCCTCACCCGCCCCATCTGATCCATCACTAAACCTAGCCTGTTCAACCTACTTAATATCACTTGAACATTTCCCTTCCCATTCACTGCACCCCTGCTGATGTTGCCTTCATTTGGACTTGTATTTTTTACTCACCTGGATCAATGCACCAGTTTTGTTTTTTTTTTCCCTCAATCTCTTACCACTCTGTGTTGCTACCTACAAAAGCTTTTAAGCATAAGTCTGATCAAAGTGTTCCCCTATTTTAAATTCCCTGAATAGCACCCTACAACTTTAAAGGTAAAAATCAAAACTCCTTAGCATAGACTTTCAAAATTTAGCTCTACTTCCCTCTCCAGTCCAATCTGTAGTTACTGTTTTGCTTATATGTGTACCTCCCAAGTATCTTACACATGAAAATAAGTACATTTCTTACACCAACACACCTAAGATTATCTTATAATTTTATACACATTCAAACCAAGGGCATATACTTTTGAAGTCATAGTTATCAGTTATTTGTGAGAATTCCTAAGTAGATACTTAGAGAGAAATAGCACATGACCAAGGGAAGCTGACCTCTTCTAATCTGGTCACCATAAACTTCTACAGAATGGATAGATTTCAAGCATTTCCTCGTGATCTCCAAATACCCATCTTTCCATTATATTATCAAACGTCCCACGGAGTACATTTTAAAATAAAATATAAAATGTAAAATTCCATGATCATTTGTTCCAGGGAAAACACACAAATATACACATGAACATACTGTTATGAATAAAACCCTCAGATTTCAAAATGTTTTGAGTGCCTTGCCAGGTCAAAAACTCCTCTCAGACAAAACTATGGTTCTTCTTGATCTCTCCTGAAAGCAGTATGAGTCTATAAATTGATTAACCATCTACTTATTACCTCCTAAGAAAATCTCTTGTCTATGTCTGTCCCTCAGGTCTAGGTTCACCAGGAGCAGATTAAGAAAGTGAGAGAGGGGACTTGGTAAAGATTTTTCAGGTGAGCCAAAGAGTGCATCTTGATTTCAGTAAATAATCTGACAGTTTCATGCTATCTTATGGGTTGAATTGAAATGGCGTACCATTGTGCTTTTTTTCTAAAATGATGCTGTGTTATTTATGGCATAAGTAGGATATGGCATATAAAAAGAGGTTTATAAGCTATAAAGCATTACATAGCCACTGCCTACTTGTTGATTATAAAGATGTGTCTAAATATGTCTAACTGGAAGATAATTTCTAGTCATATGCCATAGGGGTTCTTCACTGATTCTGTTCTGCTCAATCTTTTTTCTTTCTGAATAATTAACGCAAAGACATACTGGGAATTCTCACTTAACTTGGGTGATGTAAAGTAGAAAAGATTCCAGAGAGAGAGGACAGAGAATCAAAATGACCTCAGCCAATTGAAATGAAATTTAACAGGATTAAATGGAAAGGCCTATATTTAAGTTTAAAAAAAGAAAAGACCCACAAAAGCACAAAGGAGGATAACTCTGGTTTTGGCTGCAGTCCATAGTAAAAATCATGAACGTAAGTAAAACCCAGATACTAATGTGCTAATGCAAACTTATGTCATGGCAATAAAATAATCATCTATTCATCTGACAAAAAAAACAGTTTACACCTATTGGAAGAAAAATACCGATACAGAAATTTGCCTTAGCCCAGTTGGTATGAAAATTGTATTTTCACACAAACATTAAAAAAATTGGAAAAGAGTGACAGAACAGAGCTGAGGAAGAAGACCAGAATGTGAACAACCTGGGAGGATTCATCCCCAATGAGAAGAGGTTTACCCTGAAAGAGAGTGGACTGATGGGACAAGATAGCTATCGTTGAGGGCATGACTAATCACAATGAGGGTGGCTAACAGCTGTGAAGGCCAAGCACAGGGTAAAGTGCCCTCTATTACATTTTAATCCCTGCAAAGCAGGATTACTTTTCTCATTTTACCAATGAGGAAACAGCATTTCAAAAAAGGTTACATAACTTGCCTAAAATTCACCCAGCTTATGGGTAAATGGCAAAGGTGGGAATGACATCTGATTTCAAACTTCTGTCTGTCTGTAGAACAAATGTGGAATGAACATGTCCCGTTTGGTTCCACATGATGAAATTAGAATCAAAGAGCAAAGTAACAGGGAGGTGAGCTTAAGAAAAGCCTTATCACATCTAGAACTCTCCAGGAATGGGGAAGCAAAGGGGCAGAGACCTACTTCTCACTGAACATATTCAAGCACCAGTAGGCCATTCTGCTACCTGACAAGCAACAGACACATCCATAACTTGGGTCACAGTTGAAGTTTCATCTCTGAGGTCCTGAGCAGCAGTTAGGTACATTGACATGCAGCAGAAATTATTACAAGCAATTTTCTAGAAAGTAAATCAATGCTTCCAAGGAGTTGAATACTATACATGTTACAAAATCAGGTCCATCTTTTCCTTCAAGAGGGGCTTTGTCATTGTTTCATGGTTTAGGCAAGGTTCTTAGCAGGCTAACCGAAATCTGGAAACAAAAATTTATTGAGATTTGCATAATTTGCTAAAGCCTCCTAAAATGAAGTGGGGCAAAGGCGACAATCCATTGCTGTTGTATGGCTGTTCCGGTGAACACAAAGGTGGGCCTGTTTACATTTGCTGTGAATAAAGCCCCCACAGGATATAACATAATCTCCCCAATAGCTTACAGTCCTATGATAGACTTCTATATTTTTGTCTGCTCAGCATCCACACACCTCTTCTCTATGGGAAATCCCCCAAACCAGGTCCCTGCTACTGGGCTTCCTTACTGGTTACCAGAACCATAACCTGGGTCAGAGCTGCACCTGTCCTGGTCTTTGAAACTTAAGGGAGTGACTGACTCCCCAGGATGGTGGAATATTATTTATGACAGTGATGTGAGCCTCATGAATTCACATGCTGCTGGCAGCTGGACCACGGTGGCATCTGACGAGGACATTCCCTGTGGTGTAATCATGGCCCAGCTCTTGCCTGCTGAGCCTGCCTTGGATCCTGCTACTTTACAAATTTTTTTAATGACTCAGTGAGCTACCTAACCCTTTTCAATAAACACTTTCTCTGATTAAGTTATACACAACTTTTTTTTTTTTTTTTTGGCAAGTAAGAACTGTACACTCTAGAAGTTTTATATCACAGAATGAGTTTGGGTGAATTCTTAGCTTGTCTCGTGGAACAAAAAAGGACCCAGGCTACTGAACACACAGCTACTCTAATGTAAATCCTAAAATGTAAATCCTCTACCCTAAATTCTAAAAAGCTGGCATCCAGAAAGAAAAAGAAAAATACCGGATGGTCTCACTCATAGCAGGACTCCAGAAAACTTAAATAAGAGACCAGGAAAATGAATAACTATAAGAAAGTGAAAATCAAAATCAACAAAAAACTATGAACCAGAGACACTCTATGGGGAGTAGGGGGAGGGGAGGAATTGGGGTCAAAATAAGGGGGTTGCAATCGTATGGGGAATATAAAAATAAAATTTATTTAAAAAAAATAAAAAGTTGGCATCCCAGTAACACAGATAATCTCAGCTTTGAAAAATAATCAGCTCATAAGCAATGTTACCACAATAAAAAAAGAATACAATTTAAAAAAGAATGTAACATTTTGAAATCAGCTCTATCTACCAAATTAGAGATGACAATCATATTTCCAATCAGCTACAATGTGACAGATGAGGACTCAGTCAGGTTCATTCATTCAGCACATTATTTATCAAAAGCCTTCTCTGTTCCAGGAGGAGAGAAAAGAAATGATTCCTAATTAGCCCTTTTGTTTTTTTGGCATCCACTTAATGAAAAGTGAAGAAGGTTAAAGGGAGATCATCTGTGATGTTACAAACGTAGAATAAAGTCTCATGGACAAAACCTTTTTAAAGTCAGATCATTTATTTGATATTGTATAAAACTTTATTTCAGGCAGACTTTATCACTGAATTACCCAGCACACTATGCAAACACAAAGGGAATAATCGGTGACTTCTTAGCAATCATTTTTTACTTCCTACCACCATGAAGGATTCCCATAGTATACTGAACTATAACTGTGGGAACTGCAATAATTGCCATTTTTTGAGTAAAAACCTGTCTATGTAGAAAATCTTAGAAATAGACCATTCTAAAGATCCAGGTATCCTCGTAAGCACCAAAGGTTATTTCAGTGGTTATTTTAACAGCTCTGGGGACACTTTTGAACATGCTATTATATATTTTCCTCTGGCAGAAAAGAGATAAACAGGGAGCCAAATGGCTGCATCACTTGCACTATGTCATTTCCATCCTGGAAATGTCTGATTGCCTAGGTAGAAAAGTAAGTGGGCCTTGGCTTTGGCCTGGAAGCTATATTTAGCACCTACTCCTTTTTTTAAGAAATCCTTTCCTGATGTAAATGACCATGCAGACGGGCCTTCAACTATAGTCTCAGATCAGAAACAAGCACATCACAGGAAAAGTCAAAGGACTTCCAGCTTTAAGACAATGAATGATTCAACAATTTTTCTCTAGAGTTCTGTGGACGGGTTGTGCTAGTTTTTGGTCCAAATATATTCGCTGTGCTGAGCCTCCAGGAGCCATAAAAAAGGGTAAGCTGTAAGACAGGGGATGATTTCACTGATGATGGAAGGTTAAGTTTTAAAGGAGGACTTATAGGGAAGCACACACACAACAACATGGAGATGTTTGTGCCTGTGTACCTGGTCGAAACTCAAATCTACGCCATGTTACACAAAGTACAGAATCCATTTCTGAACTATTCAGGGCCCAGGTTTAGGAAAGACAAAAGCCACACTGATAGCTACTTCCAACAGAAATCTGGTTTTGGTTGTATGGGAAATAAAACCACCACTAGCCCAAACCTGACAGTTCGGCAATGTTCAAGAAACTTCATCAAGGAGACGGCACCAGGTCGATACTACTCATTTTATCAGTTTTGTAAAAGAATCAGGTGTTTGAGCCTATAAGATTTTTTTTTTTACCTGCAATCACCCACAAACAGGACTCTGACCTCAAAGAAAGGACTTGGCTTTCAGACCATGAAATTCAAGCCCAGTGTACTCAACGGGGCAGTTTAATGGTGTTTGAAAGAATAGTGATCTTCAGAAAGGAAAAAAAGGTTTTTTGGTCTTTCAGAGGAGTTATTTTTCTCTTCTTCCAACCCAATGTTCAACAGATCAAGGCAGAGTTCAGAGTGATTTGCATCCTGAAGGAACAGACCGTAAATGCACCTGTGGGCTTCACCCCAGGCCTCGGTCTGGGTCTGTTGAATTCGGCGCATATGGGTATGTGACATTGGGATGATTCCTCCCCCGCCAAATCTAAGAGAAGAAAGCACCTGCCAGGAGCTTATAAGTACTAACCAGGGCTCATTTCCTGGATAAAAGGCTCCTTCTGGGCAAATCTCTCTTCAGTGTCTTCCAAAAGACAAGATCATAGTAAAGGCAGATGTATGCCAGGCGTGGCTGCCTGGACCAGGGCTGCCCAGGACAATGACAGCATTAACAGAACACTGCCAAGGCCAGAGGCTAGCAGGCGCTTCATAAGTAGTAACTCACATAACCTCACAACAACTATAATAATCAGCATTGTGATCCCCTTTCAGGGATGAAGAAAACGAGATTCTCAGACATCCAGATCTGCAAGGCTCCAGAGTTGATGCATTTTCTATTTCGGACATAGCTCGATCTAAAAACAGGAGTTCCCATCCACTGAGATGAGATTCACCTATTCAATCCGTAACAACCATGACTGGTGAGCTGAGCCCTATGCTGTGTCCTAGGGGATGCAATGGGGATCAAGGTGGCAGTTTGCAATTCTGCAGTGAGGACAGACTGGGCACCCATGTTGTAGGAAGGGAAGCTGGGAGCATGTGGAAGCCCATGAGGTTGCTGGGGAGTCCCAGGGAAGTGCAGGGTGAGAAGTGACTTAAAAGCGGAGGTCTAAAGAACTGGAGGTACAGCAGACACCTGAACACCATGGGTTTGAAATGCATGGATCCGCTGATTGGCAGGTCTTTTCATAAATATACTGTTGACCCTTGAACCCCAAGCAGTTAAAAATGGTTTCTCTGCCTTATGATTTTCTTAATATTTTCTCTAGCTTACTTTATTTGTAAGAATACAGTATGTAAATACTTCTAACATACAAGGTGTGTGCTCATGGACTGTTTATGTTATTGGGAAGGCTTCCAGCAGGCTGTTAGTAGCTAAGTTTTGGGGGGAAACAAAGGTTTTATGAGGATTTTCTACTACTGGGGAATGGGCACCCCTAGTCCCTGTCTAGGCTCAGCTGTCAATTGATCTTATCTTGCTAAATTAGAAGTATGTGTTAGAGGAGGGAGAAGGGCTGAATATAGAGAGAAGAGCTTTACGGCCAGTGGAAGACAGAGACTATGAACTGTATAGGAAATTGAAAAGGGTCAGGAGGGCTGGAGAACAGAAAGCAAAGAGGGGAGTGGATGACATGGTGTCACAGCGGCAAACAAACCGCAGAGTCTGGGATTTCCACTACATGTATCCAACAGACTGTGGGGAGCTGCTGGGGCAGGGTGAGAGAGGTTGAGATGGAGCTGGGGGCGGGGAACAACAAAAATAGACACCCAGATTTTTACTTTAGCACAATTCATCTAAGTGCGAAGTGACCAGTGGGGACAAAAGTTATCAGTATTTCATAGGACCCTATGAACAAAAATAATCTTAGATAATGCTAGAACAAAATACAGTAAAGAAAGGGGAAAAGAATCAATCTATTATTCTTTCATCTAGGGGCAACCCACAATAATGATTTTCCTGCATTTTCTTCTAGCCTATTTTTGCGAAATTTTTCATCGGGATTATTTCAAGGAGAGAATTTGTATCCCATCTTCTCAATTAAACTGAACCAGGATTTCAAAAATATCCTTTTAAACTGCCTTATAGTATTCCAGCAAAAAAAAAAAAAAACTGACCTACCCTAATTTACTGAATTAAGTCTGTGTTATTGGTTCCCATGGCCCTGCAGCTTAAATCTTTGTGGGCCTCTGAGATGGTTTCCTAGTAATGGATCTTTAGAAAAGGAATTACTGAGCCAGTGAGTGAAACTATTTTAAGCATCTTTATCCATATTGCAAAGTATTTGTATAACAATTCTGCTCACTGAATTCTATTTTGTTTTCAGGTTGCTGCTGGTGCTTCTTCATTCCACTTACATAGGTACCACCTCTTACGTAAGCTGCTGAAATCTGGGGTGACCAGCTATGTTGCATGCAGATAAATGTATCCATCTCCCCACAACTTTATCTGAACTGAGAATGAATATCAAAAAAATTAAAATGCCAGTTAAAAAACCCCCAAACTGGTAGTTTATTATTTTTAGCACATATAGATATTTAGTCCTTGGTGAGTTATTCAAATTGAATACTTAATCTAGGTAGCAGCTGGGACCCCATGTTGGGATTTTTCAACACTGCTATAGAGTGAGGGCTTTGTCCCCGCACGCCTGTCTTTACCTCAATGCAGATTCACTTTCATGTAAGAAATCCATTTCCTGTTTACTCTTATCTCTACTTCTAAACAATAACTTCATCCGAAAGTAAATCCTACTCCAGTGAGAAATAAATCAGTATACCCTTTAGGGAAGACCCTTGCATTGTAAATATTTACTACGACTAATTCCTAGTACTTTGATGATAAACCAGCAAAGTTAACTTGATTGCTAGGATCTTCAGTGATCTTTATGACAAAGAATGATCTTCTATCAAAACAAAAAGGAAGGAAATCAATTTCCATCCTCCCAAAACTTCCTGGCTCTTGCCACAGCACTGACAGCCACCAGGTTGAGCCTCAACAATTCTCTCACCGGTAAACAGGTCTGCAAGCCCAGTGTTGGTGATAATGGTCCCTCTCAACATCACCACTGAGCAGAGAGATCTGAAGAACCACAAGAAATAAAACCAGATCAGCACAAGGAAGTAATCAATAGCACATCGATGTGGATTCAATGCTGACCTAATGCTCGGTGCGGGGAACTCCTGCTGCCCCACTTACTACTCACAAACAATTTCTTGGATACTGTGCTTGTGTGGTTAATCTGGTTCCTCAGGCCCGTAAGTGGCTCCCACAACAGGAACATTTATAAATGTGGAAAGACTCAGCAGAGGGAGTGACTAGAGAAAAGACTCAACCAGGGTGGTCCCATGTCTTCTGTACAGGTCTGGAGGGGTAGGTGGAGTCACTACCAGATCCCATCAATCAACAGGGCAAACCTTCATCTAGTTTTCCCCAGCACTGCATATCTACCTGGCTCATATACTGCTCAGGGAATACTCGCTGAAGGTCTAAGTGAACACCTACTTACACAAAGACGCTTGAATATTTAAGAAAGAGGCCGTATCTGATTTTATTCATAGCAGAACCCAAAACTCATCACAGGGCCTCCTAAAAAATAAGTTTGGTAAATGTTTGCTGTGAATAGTTAAGCTTTCTTCCATGACCAGTTTTCTAGGATTGGAAGTGGGGCACAGGGTTAGCCTCCCTGCCTCAGCTGGTGGTTTTGTGGCTACATCCACAGTTCACAGTCCTTAGTCCACTGTCCTGGTAACATCAGTTTTACCCTGCCAGATCAACGTCTTCCCGGTAGCTCTTAATCATTAACAGCCAAATCCCCAAACCTCACTTTGGACTAGAGTAAACAAGGTGCCAGCAAGGCATAGCCCGTGCAGAAAAAGAGAAGTAGAGACTCAGCACCAAGTGAAGGCAGACAATCAAGCCCAGATCCGTAGGGATCGTATTTGTAGACACAGAGCTCCTGATAAGAGACTCAGAGGGAGGACTTGTGCCCTTCTCTGCCTGATGGGGCACTATACCCTTACACATAATTCAGAATTGCCGGGCACTATCTAAAGTATCACTTGCCCCCAGTCAGGGCTAGTTAACCAGTGACTAGCTTTTTGTTTTTCCCTAAGTTCCTTCAGGGGGTAGAACACTGGCTTTCATACACTCCTAGTGCACCATCGTTGGACTCGGGCGTGTATTTGGCCAGATAAGTGATGCTGGAAAGGTGGTTACTGAAGCAGGGCTACCCTTGTTACATCTCAGACATATAACAAGGTACACAGGCTTTTGTGAGTTGAATGGACATCTGACCACCATTTATTTACATTTACAGCTGACCCTTGAACAACACGGGCTTGAACTACTCAGGTCCACGGTGCACAGTTTTTCTATCCATGGTTTCTGCATTAATGGATTCAACTGATAGGCATGGTGTTTGGCTGAATTCAAGGATATGGAACCCAAGGACACAGACGACCGACTATCAGACTTTGAGGTTCTGAAACCAATCCTCATGGATACCAAGGGACAAATGTTAAGTTTTGGGAGTGACTATGTCAGAAGTAGGCTCTCCTAGCCCCACCCCACCCTCCTCGCTATTCAACAGTCAACCGTACTTATCTGGGGTAGGGTATAGTACAGAACACATGTCTCAGGTACCAATGAACACATTCATAGATGCTGATCCCCTCTGTGATCACACGTCCCCACAGGGCCTGGGAAGATGGATGCAGGACTCCTTGCTGACAAGAAGGGGGAGAATTCAGCTTCTCTTTGCCCAAATCCAACCCTTTGACTGATATCTGTGTGCACAGCCCAAGTTCTAATTTTAAACCCTCTTGGATGATTGAAACATAGTATCTATGCAGGTAGTTCACAAGGTGATCCAGCACACCACAAACCAAAAGGAAATCTGGACAGCAGGCTTAGTAGTAGGGAGAATATCTCAACCCCAGATGTGAACCCTCCCAGCTCACCCTCCTTTCTCATGGAATGCTCTTTCATTACAAGCGAAACAAAACAAACAATACACCTGTCCTTCTCCTCCCCTTTCTGAAATCTGCCAGCTCCTTCCTGTGGTCGGTCCTGCTCTCAATAGCCCTCCCTCAGCGCCTGGAATCCAAGTCTGCCATCTTTTGTGTGACAGCATCCGGGTCCCTGCTGCCTTCTCAGTTCTCTGAGGCGGCACCAGGAGGAGGGAGGCACAGGTCAGCAAAGCAGGCTGCATTCCCTTCCCCAACTTTCAGTTTAACTATAAGGCCCTCCCTCACCCCCCGAAAGAGCAGTGCTTATAGCATGGGCCACAGGGAAGGGGCTCAAGAAAAATCTGGCATTGGTGGCACTTCCTTCCCAGAGTCTGGGTTTTTGTTTGTTTGTTTTGGTTTAACTGCTTGTGTTTTGAGGGAACAAAATATGCTCTCCATATAAATATATGCTGCTTTCCTTAACCACCCTCCATTTTCTACCAGAAACTTCTTTCTGAAAGCCGTACCAGAATAGAAGAAAGTGCTTCAAATATCAGTTCAGCTGGCCTGAACCATGCCTGGAGTATCCTTTGAAAGAGTTCATAACTAGTAATTTCCTCTTCAAGCAGAAGCAAAGATGTAAGCAAGCAGGTAACGTGAAGTAAGGTATCTTTGCATTTTAATGCAGACAGTACGTTTCAGAACTGGGACTGCACAAGAATGAAACCCCACGCCAAACTGTGACTGCCCGCCTTGCTTTCACTGCTGTCACCTCAAGAACCTCTCCATTGCCAAGGGGAACAGTCTCATCACAGTTCATTCTCAGGGAAAGTGATGCTTATTGTTTGGAAAAAATACATATATGATTCTTTAAGCTCTTGCTAAATTAAACAAAAATTCTTGTTATGCCAACAAAGTAAACTGAAAACAGAGAAGAGACAAGGGAAATAAGGTCAAGATTTTTTTTATACTCAAATCCTAATCTTGAACCCTCCTAAGATCCATCTTAGATGTCGTGTTACGATGTGGACACTAAAGATCTTTCCATGTGATTCTAAAATAAAAATTTTAGACTTTGACTGCTTAAAGATAGACCAGAACGAAGCATGTAGAGAAGTTTAACTGAGCACTACCTCTACCAGTCGTCGTTTTAATTTTGCCAAGTGTGGTAAAGAAATATTCTGTCTTGGTAGAGGGAAGGAATTGCTGGTTTGTTTTAGTCAATATCAAGTCCACAGTTGCCTTTTATAGGAAATATCCAGTTACTTCCTTGGCTTACAGTGGGTTTGACGCCCCCACTGCCCTAGGAATAAATTCCTTAGGAAAAAAAAATTCCCTTGGGAAAAAGAACTGGTCCCCTTTAAATATACACAACAGAAACCATTACCCAAATCACCCATCACCCAATCATGCTGAGGTCTTGGCCATCAAGAATTGTACCAAGTCCAGCCCTGGGCATAGACCTGACCGTGGAAAACTCTGTTCGCTATCTGGACACCTTTGATCACTGAGCCGTCAGACTCCCATGGAAGAGGCGCATGAGATTACCGAATTACATAATCGTTCTTCTGAATTCACCAATGTTCTCTGTGGTTAAAGATAAAGGAGTGATTGTTGATTTTTAATTCAAACCTTTTGTAGCCCAGGCTCCAGAAAAATTAACTCTTCTGTTGGCTGTCCACCACTCTCCAGATGGTGGAGATTACATTCAGAGACTATCTGTGAGAGAGATGAGTGCCACCTTCCACTGGTCTGGTGTTTGAAAATTTTCATACACATGATCACAACATTATCAGACCTTTGATGGAGGTAGGGATAGCACAAGTTCACCATTTTTACTGCTAATGTATCATCCAAGGGCTTGGGGGGAGAGATGCTTTCAATATAACTGGATGACTGATCAACTGTCAGAACTGGTGGGAATTTGAGAATCTGGAAAGGAGGGAACTGCATTAGTGTCATTCTTGTGGGTCTGGAAGCAAGGCTTCCTGACTCATCACATTCTTGTCCCACCACGATATACTTCCTTGCCGTAAAACTTATTTAAACTATGAGTTTAGTTGAAATCTAAGAGAACACGGTGCATTTTCTGAAGAGCCTTTCTTTACTTACCCAAGAGGTTAAATGGGGCATGTCACTGGTTATAGGAACTGAAACTCCGTGACCAGAACTCTACAAGGAAGGGGAGCGTGTGTCCATACTCCTTGATTTCTCCCCCTCTACTTTCTCATGGGAACCTAATGCACTGACTGTAGAGCTGTCATGGCGCCATGTTGATCTGTTGCCATGGAGATCACTCTGGCAACACACAAACCTGCCACCTGATCAGACACACAAGTGTCTCAGTCTGACTCCCAGAAGGATTGCTCTAACCGCCACTCCCACCAGTTCCAAGTTCATCTCTACTGGGATTTCTCTCAAAAGTGTTTGGAGATTAACTTTTAAAAGTCATTAAAAGGATAAACACTCAGAGAAAAGGAGGGAGGTAGGCGAAAGGTGTTGCAAGATTTCAAAGCTACCAAGTTCACACAGAGCAACTGCTCTGAAGCCAGAGTTATGGACTTGGTCTTTAATATTACTTGACATAGCATGTGGAGGGAGACACCACTGGAATTACACTCATCTGCGATGCACCATTTACACAGTATCCACCTTGTTACTGAGAACAACTGTGAAATGTTCAGGCACTACTTGGTGTTGATCTCTACAAAGCCCTGCTGCCTATTCAGAAACTGGAGATGCTGTGGGTGGCAGTTCAATGACAGTGCTGTCCCAGCCTGCCTCTGATGGGAGATATAAACACCTTTGGTCTTGACCACTGGCTGAAGGATGTCAGGACCATCAAATCTCAAGGCCATCTGACCTTCCTGGAGGGCATGTCACAGCCATTAAGTACTCTTTCCTCGCAGAAGCCAAAAGGGTTTTCTTTCTCTAGCCTCAAAAAGGCTCCATTTGTGCATGACGTCTCATTATCGTTCTAGAAGATCTATTTAATTTCCCCTAAGTCTTTAGGGGAAATTGATGGGAGGCATGATGGATCATCAGGCTGCCAGTGGCCAGATATGAGCCTCCCTGCTAGGAATTCCCAGGAGGCACTGAAGGGAGCCTGAAACTGCCATGTTCAGAAGTGTTCAGCCTCAGGATGCACCTGGACTGCAGAGACGTAAGTTCTCTGGTTTCCTTTAAGATAGGCACAGAAAATACCAGGATCCAGCAAGAGGGAAGGGGACCAAGGAGGTAGAGTTGCTTTTCTCTGCAGGCCTATAGTCAAACCTGGGCGTTCACCTCAGTGAAGCTCTGTGGCATCTAGGAAGGAAGACATGAATCCCCCACACCCAACACCTGCTGGTCTCCTTAAGGATCTTCAGGCCCAGTGAGTGTAGCTGCTGCCTGATAGCTGCTGATCATCATTACCTGTGTCTAAAGAGTAGGGAAGATTGAAAAGCAGCTATAACTCAAACTTAATCATTAGCAACTCTCTGGTTTTGAAAATTTGAACAGAAAGGATATTGAATTTCATCCACCTGTCATCGCGTTCCCATTAGCACCTTTTGGCTCCTGCGACTCGTGATTGTCCTCCTAACTCGGTGTCCCTGGCACTGCTACCCCAGAGTGTTGTGTCAGAAAAGCATCCTGGACTCACAGGACTGGGATATAGGAGAGCTCAATAGCAGCTCTGGCCCCAACCCCCCCTTTCTCCTCCCGCCCCAACAAAATAAATGATAAACCAATCTCTTCCACACCCCCAGTCTCTCACCAGAGGCACATCTTCAAGGGTCGATCTGGTCTTAGCATTTCAACAACACTTTCTTTTTTTCTACTTTAAGCCCAAACGGGAAATATTGAGTAATGAACAAAAGAAATTTTTTTTAAAAAGACCCCTCAGGCTGTCAGAAGCCAATGAAAGATTAAAATGAGAGATTACATTTCTCTACTGGAAAAATGACACCCTTTCTCCCCTTACTATGAACTCAAAATGACACCTACATCATGTTTTGCTACTTGTGCCAAAGAATAACTTAGTTCTGTGAGTCTTTCATAATTAGGTACCACCAACATCGTATTTTTTTCCCTCAGATTTTTCTCCTGGATGCTATCTGTGTTTTAAACATAAGTGAATTAAAAAACAAACAAACAAAAAAACAACCAAACAAAATAAACCATGCTGGCCTTTATTGAAAAACAATTTAGAAAATCTATATTCTTTGGGGAATAAGTATGATATTTAACTATGGAATGAGGAGGAGAAACTAATTGTAGTGTTGCTTATGCTTTATAGTGAAATAAGTGAAAAATAACAAAACTTTAGACTTAAATAATAAGGCACACACTAAAAACTTATTGGACAGAGGAACATTAATAACATTTAACATAGAATCAAGAAGAAAATGTACTTTCTGTGGCGATCTCACATATGTCCTTGTAAGTATTTATCTCCATAATTATCATTCTTCTGGCCACAGCAGGTGTGCCATAAATACTGGTTTTGCAGAGTGCTTGTTTGAGTTATTGCTTACTTAGACTTGCTTGTTTTCTTATTCCTAGCACTGAGCACAGAGATTCTGACCTAGAACAAGCCCAGGATGTCACAAACAAGATTCCCAAGGAGTATCAGATGAATAAGGAGCAGTGGAGCAGGGATCACAGTCTCTTTTCTTCCCTACCTGAAACACGGCCTATAGACTTCTGTCCTAATTCACAAGGTGTGGCCAGAGCTGACCAACCAGTGGAGATCTAGGCCACGTTGACCCCAGGATGAACCTGAAGCAGCTGTCTTCCAGAGGTAAGGGGCAGGGTTGTAGTTACACACTTTACCACCCAGGTGTATGATTTTCCACAATGGGAAACTGCAGGCTTCCTGTCATTATGAGTATGTCAATGATGAGGTTGGTTTTGTGTCTTTTCAATCACCTGGGATAGATCTGACTTCACTTCCAAGCCCCGAGGTCAATTTAATGCCAATAAACACATAGGTGGGAGGCAGGGAGGGGATGAAGAACACAGGTTCAGGAGCAGAGTGACTGGGTTCAAAGTCGGCCTCCCACCAGCCAGTCTGGTGGCCTTGGGCAAAATGACTTAACCTTTCCAAGCCCTAGTTTCTGTACCTGTACAGTGAAGATAGTATCTATCACCTACCTCCCAGACTCGTTAGGAGAATAAATTAATGAGCTGATTTAGTAAAGCACTAGGAATACAGAGTACACGCCCAATAAACGCCAGGGCTTGGGATGGCATCATTTTGCAATGGTGAACTTATTCCTGGCATGCAATTTTTCTAATACCCCAGTTCTCTCAGAGCAAAAATGGAAGACTGTTTGGAGTAAAAATAATAGTACTTTACTCATACCAACTGAAAATTCATACCAACACCCAAATGTTAACAGTTCTAACATCACATATCAGCGCAGGTTTTATTCTGTACTGATAGAAGGACAAGGGCAGCCATGATGGGGGTGGCTTCCATAAACCAGCACTTGGAAACCTGCTGAGTGTCCTCTGGAGCAGCTGGGAGAAGGTCAACTAAAGCCCAAGACAGGTTCCCTTGAGGAAACTGCCATGTTCATCCCCGATTCTATTTTCAACGCAGCATTTACTCAGAAACTTCCCAAACCAAATTACTATAGCTGATCTACCTGGCAAGCATTGTTTCTTTCTGTTTATATCAGTTAAAAAAAAAAAAATCTAGCTTTCCGATGCATGCTTCTTCACCAGACAAGCTGTTCCAGTGACTATTTCTTCCTTACTCTTTAGAATAAATACAACAAGCTGCAAAAGGGTGTCAGAGATGGAGATATTTATTAACAACATCATCTGATTTGATTTCTCCCAATTTTACAGGGAAGCCTCAGAGGCTCTAAAGGCTGAATAATCGCCTCAAGTCACAGAGCTCTGGGGCGCCTGACAGGGCTGAATCCTGTCTTCTCCACCTCAAGTCCGAGATCCTTCTGCTGCTCCATGTGGCCCTCTAAACTTCACACTCTGATTTCCCTCCTCCCCAGCCCCAGCCTAGTGCACACACAGAAAACCTCGAATACACAGATCACCAAACTAATCTACAGATGCTGCTATTTCAATGCTCAGTCCCCAAAGATCTCAACAAGTGGCTAAATAACAAGAGCTATTTAGCAAAGGCAGATTTTAGAGGAGTTTACGGATTGTCTTTGAGATCAAAATCACATTTCTCACAGCGTGAGAATGTGCCCATTTTGGAGAGAGGGATGCAGAGGCCAAGGAGTGCAGTGACTTGTTAAAGCTTCCAAGCCCCTTGCCTGTGGCCGAGCCAGCACTCGAACTTTGACATCTGATTTGAAAACCTGCATGTTTCTACTTCCTCCCTCTCAGCCTAATTAGCCCTGTCACAAATGGTGCTGCCATTACTCTGTCCCAATCTGCTGCATTAAAAAAAGAAATTTAATTCATAAAGCATCTTCAGGTCAATTTGTTTTTTTAAACGCAGTCTGACTGAACTGTGGGAAATAAGTGCAGGTAGAAGAAGATCCTCTGCCCACTACGGGGCTCGATTTCAACAAAGCAAAGAGTTCAGACCAGCTCCCCAGACCAGAATAGCACTTACATTTATTGCCTACAAGATTTTAAAGGCCAGTGCTAGGAAAAGCCTGCATGGTGGTTGTTTTTTTTTTTTTTTTTTTAACCCCGTTGCTGAAGACATCTTCAATCACTGCTTTGTGTCAAAGGGGGAAGGAAAGAGGTTGTTTGTGAGAGCTGGCAGCATGGGGCTGAAATACAACCCAGAAGGCCTCGGTGTAGGTCAGGGATGAGCAAAGCCACAAAGAAAGGCAGCGAGCGAGAAGCCACCTCCTTGCTGGCTGCTCCTGAGAGCAGTTAAAGATAGAGATGGTGGCAGCTAATGGCGGGGGTGGGAGAGGGAGATGAAGTAGACTGCGAGGGAAGGTGCGGGGGGGACGGATATAATCCAGCATACAGAAACCTGTCAGGAGGGGATTTATTTTTGTTCTGTGAGGGAGTATAATAGGGCTTTGCCTGCACTCTCAATAGCTGTTTTGAAGTGAACCCGGCTGGTATGTCTTTAATTTGTCATTTCATTATGAAACTGTTTCCCTTCCAAGAAGCCTTCAAGTCAGGAAGCTCTGTCTGCCCACACAGGAAATTCCTTTGCTTCAACTTCCCCAAAAAGGAAATTTCCCTCAGAAGTGAGCCCAGCATATGCCTTTGAGCAGGGCTGTTTCAAGAAACTTTGGCAGCTGAGTCCTGAAAACACCCCTGGCTCTCAGCTGCTGCTGCTGCTGGGGTTCTGGGATAAACAGTTCAGCTCCCACCCACGGGGTGGGGACCCCACCGAAACTGACCCTGGCCCACTCCTTCCTCTCTCTTCTTCATTTTCCTTGTGCTCATGCCCGCCTGCCCAGCACCCACCCCACATCCTCCGTAGGATGGGAGTTTTAGCTCTGAGAAGGAATCAGTACCTGCAACTTGCCTCAAGAAAAAAAGGTCCTTCCGCAGACTTATCTACATCACACTCAACTCACTCACTCACTCACACTTGTGAGGCAGATAGAGACAGCAGTATTTCAAATGAAGAGATTACCAGAAAGTAAAACAGCTGTTAATAGCTCCAAAAGCTGTACATTACCAAAGGACCTTTTTTCCAGGGTGGTAGATTTTTTTCCCCCAAACACACTTTTCCAGTGAGGATTTTAAGTAAAACATGAAAGGGGCAAAATCACAAATCACAGCATTATAAAAATTAATCTCTCAGACATACTGTGAATGACTGAGGGGGTTAGAGCCTGGAGCAGCTGTGCCCACGTGAGTAATAATATATAGTATTTATGAAGCTTCTTAGCAAAGTGGCATTAGCAGGAAACTACCAGACTCACAATTAATTTTCCATTTCAAATCACTTCATTTAAAAAAAAAAAAGTTTGAAAAGGAAACAACAGAGACTCCCAAATCACAGGAAGAGGGGGTGGCGCTGAACTTCCAATTGTACAGTAAGCAGTGAGACAGACACTGAGATGCGGAGCTGAGATGGCCTGTGTGTTCGTCCTACAGTCAGGCTGGGTGGGAACAACAATGTGGTGGGATGTGGCCTCTCTACATGCTTCATGGGCCAGAACTCTGTAAGAGATGCTACTTATCAGGAAATAGTAATATTTAAGGGGCTAGTAAGAATCATAAGCTCACTGGGGGCCTCCCTGGTGGTGCAAGGAGTTAAGCATCAGCACTATGAAGCAATCCACAGCTACTGCAGCATGAGTTCGATTCTGGCCAGGGAGGTGAGCCACATGGTGCAGCAGACCTCTCCTGTCCCGCCTGCTGCTCCCCTCAGCAGTGTATTTCAGTTAATCTGCCTGTTCTGCTCCCCAGTCTGTCTTGGTAAATCCTCTTACCAGCCCCCCCACCTCTGGCCTACACCTCAGTTCTTCTATGCAAAAATAAATTAAAAAAAAAAAAAAAAGAATCATATAGCTCACTGACATCTGAATATTAACCCTGAGGTTTTGGGGTTGTGGTAGATATTTTTTGCGGAGTGGGTTTACAATTTTATTTTAGTGAGTTATTCTATTTTTCTAAAATTTATGAGGTTTTAACCACAGTTGGCTCTTAGAGACAGATCCAACAGTACTTTTCCTAGACTACCTAGAAGGGTCTAGGGAATAGGGCTTTGGCTTCTATTGTGAAGAACGGCGTAGGGTAGAAAGGGGGAGGCTGATGTACGGGCCCTGCCCCGACTAGCTCTGTGACTTTGGCCAAGTTCCTTCACCTCTTTAAACCTGACTTTTCATCAGTAAAGGGAGGATAATAAAACTCAATACACAGGACCATGGTGAGGATTAAATGATATATATGAGTGGAAAGTGATATATATGAGTGAAAAGTTCCTGCATAAGCACTCAATAACTGAAGTCATTGCTCCACAGGGAACTTAAGAAAGAGCTTTCCCCAAACTTCACACACCCACGCTTCATAGTAAGTTATCTCTTTGACCAGATATGGGTAAGTTCCCCACAAGTCAAGATTTCCCTGACCACTTCAGCTTGAGACTTGAATCAATGGCTCCCTTATCCCTCGGTATGGTCTTGGCATTACCATCCAACATTTAGTCAGCCCACAGGTAGAAAATTTTGGTAAGAATGGCCAAAAGGATAAAGGATTCAGATCTACCCCCCCTCCCAGTTCACCCCTTCTCTCAAGGAACTGCAGATATACATTCTCAAGTTCACGATATGCTTTGCTCTGTCAGTACTGACAATGGCAATGTCCTGAGGGCCAACAGCCATGTGTATCAGCTTACTCATCTGGGTCAGAGGCCCAGGTTCTTAATGTTTTGTCTAAATCAAGGGGCCTGGATTTTTCCATCTAATCTTATCTATCTCCCCCATGAAGAAGGCCAGCCTCAAGCAAAATCAGGGGTTTGTTTCCTCTGCCCCCTCCTTTGACCTTCCAAGCTGGCCATGGTTCCTCTATTGTAAAAGATTGAAGAGATCTGATAAACTAATTTTCATTAAGACACCAGGGACTTATGGTATTAATTATCTCTATCCAAGGTACTAGCTGCTATCACAACTTTTTAAAGTGGAGCTAGATGGAAACAATGCCTGATCCACAAGGAAGGTATTTTACCGGTGGAATTTCAGGTGCCAGAACAGTCCATCATGGTAGATACTTAAGTTCAGGGCATGCTAAATAAATCACCACAATGGGGTGACCACATACCCACAGAAACATGATACCAAACCTGTTCACAAACAACCCCAGCCCTCCGTGCTGAATCCAGAGCAGGCTGGACAATGCATGTTTAGAAGCCAACCACTTTCTGAATCTCAACACTCCATCAGCAAACGGAGCCCTAGACGTGAGGCTTTACACACAGCTGGATTTACACACCCAGTTTCTTTGGATTCTTTCTCTGAATCACTATGGGAGGTACAGAAGCTCTGTGGTACAGATAGCTGCAGTAATAGCTATGAGATAACCCCAATCCACCTCTCTCTCATTTGGATTCATCTGAAGTAGAATTTTTCTTTACCTAAGAATCAAAAGAGAAAAATGTTCCTTTCACAAGTTCCAAACAAATTTTACATCAGCTTAGATCTGTATGGGTCTGTGGGTTCCTCTCCACACTCAATCAAAAGTTCTAGTGGCATCTAAAAGGACTTTTATAACTCCCAAGTCTCAAGGGAGGAATCTCTCTCCCAGGGAATTTTTTTTCTGTGTTCCTAAAAGGTGTTTCAATAACCCCCCAAATATCTGGGTGAATATCTGAACCATGACTGAAGTTTAAGGTCAGTGAAAGCCCTACCCAAAATGCTTGGCAGAGCTGTGAATAGGGGAACAAGAACTGGCTGTCCGGACGGGAATTTTGTGAGGTGGCTTCACCACCACCTCCCACGAGAAGTGAAAAGACTAAGTGTGGGAGGTCAGGGCTGTGAGAACAGGGTGTAGAAGTCATCAGAATAAAAAAGAAAGGAAAGGCTTTCTCCCACTTTGTTTACTTCTAGTAGGAAAATGTGCCCGAGACAGGTTAACCTTCCAAACCATCAGAAAAAACAGGTTTGTGAACTTGAACGGCCTCAGGGCTACATCCTGAAGGTAGGCACCCACTCCAGGAGGCAGGAGAAAGGGCCATTTTATTTCCTCAGGAGGGCTGCCACCCCATTATTTGCTCATAGTTGTTCCTCACCCTCTTGGGTGTCCCAAGAGTTACTTGAGGAGGCAAAATAAAACCCCTCATTGCTTTATTTACAAATCACTGCATTTTGGGGAAATCCTTTTTCCCCCCTAATCTTCCACCCTCTTTTTCACAGTTGATGGCAACGAGTAGATGATTTGAGTAACTAGTTCAGGGCCTCTATTTAGAAACAGTTTCTTGGGTGTGAGTTTTCATGCCCAGAGATAGTATACGTATCACAGATTCTCTCTGTTGGCTGGGGTGGATGGAAATGTACTTTAAAGTTCACCATCAAAGCCTTTACTTTAGAAGCTGAAAACCTTCACTCCCTTGCCAGCTATGCTTTTTTCCCCCCATAATTAATTAATTCAGTATTAATTGTGTATGTGCTATGGGCTGGCTCTAGGAGGATTCGTGTGGCCTATCCATGCCAATCTACTGGTGCTGCAAAGCCAGAGGACACCATCTAGAGAGGGAGCAAAATGCAGATGGCCATTTTGAGAAGATACAGGAAAGGCAAAGAAGCTTCAAGTTGCAGAGGGGGATTCTCACAAATCATGCAGTTGGGGTCAAGTAGGAGTTACCAGGAGCCCACCTGTGCATAATGCAATAAGCAAGTGATCAACTCAGACTCAAACTTCAGCCATGATTCGAATATTCACCCAGATATTTGGGGGGTTATTGAAAGGCCCGTTAGGAACACAAAAGAAATCCCCTGGGAGAGAGATTCTTCCCTTGGGACTTGGGG